TATCAAGAAAGAATAATAAGATTATCGAAGCGGCGCGGGCATAACCGATCCATTCGACTGTCGCCGCGCGAATGACCCTGCGTACGGCGACGTAAACACCTCTGCCGAAAACCGAGCACGGATTCCAAGAAATGACGTAGCGCCGTGAACACCTTGGTCGAAAACAATCTGTTATTAACATTTATCAATCGCGTTTAAGTAATTGTCGCGATCCGTAATCATATCGTTAATTTCTACGGTGATTTGTCGCGACAAATATCACGCATAATTTGAAGTAGAAGTCGCGATTGATAAATGTTATAAAATTCAAAAGTTATCTTCTTTACATCTCGCATATGTGCGAGATTAACAAGACTCCTATTAAATCCCATTCGCGCGCGTATAGCCCTAAATCGGATCTTTTATAAATCGCGTCGCGGTTCTAATGAAAGTAGGTTTATTAAGAAAAAGTTGAAACGCGGGTAGGTACAAAAATAGATAAGATTATACATCGGAATACGGGCAGGGACGTAGAGATTCGGATAGGCAGGTACAGGGGGACATAAAATTAAAAAGATAGATAAAATTATAACTGCGATGTATTATTATTAAATATAATTATATTTGCAATCGGATGAATATAATAAGATGGAAGTTGTTATGCGTTTGTTAAGTTTTAACTTTACATTTACTTTTCAAATTTTTGTGGATTTGATTTACTTTTAAGAGATCGTTAATAAATATTATACATTCGAGATAATTTTTATCCCATAAACATGTAATATGTATTATGTATATATTTTACATTGCAAGAATTTCATGTTATTGTGTGCATACCGAATATTTCATATGTAATGTCAAGAGAAATATTGTCTTGTAAAAATATTATACTTTTAATTTTATAATGTAATTATTTCTTTTTTTAATATTGTATGCATTTTAAAGTAAATTATTAGAAAAATGAAATGGATAATAAAATTGTCAAAAATCACATTTTAAAGAAAAAAAGAGGATCGCCGATCTAAATCGGCGGGGGTTATGGGAGACTTGCTTCTACAAGTTGGTCTGTTCTTATCAGATAAAAATTTAATTCAAGTCTAAAAGAAAGGTATTATTTCATTTATAACTAGAAAATACAAAGTTATAATAAAATACACTGGTCAAAAAATTAATGCAACAAGAAATTTACATCAAAATTTGGCGAATTTCAAATAAGCGTAACTTCGCGAAAACTGGTCGAATTGAAAAGGTTTTTTTTTCATTTTATAGGGCAAAGCCTCTGCTTTAAAAAGCTCTTATTGGAATTTGCATTTACTCTTCCCATTTCCCGGAACTTTCTCAAAATCATGATCATATTTTTTCTCTAAAAAATTGCACACTGTGACGCACTGTGCGGAGTGTAGTAATTTTTCTTCGCCAGTTCTGCTTACGGTATCAAAAAGTGTATACTTTTCTCTTCAATTTAAAAAAAAAAGAAGTTCCTACAATTTTTTTCGCCAAATCACAGCTCATTGAAATAACCCTTGTGTTTTCGACATTACCGACAATATCTCAGTTAAAAATCATCGTAGCAAGATCGTTTTTTTTTAAATTAAAGCTTGCACTTTCAGCTTCAAAAACTAGTCACCAGATTTTTCCTCGAATGCATCTGCGCTGCTGTAGCTTTTAAAATGTAAGGACATATATGTTTTTACTTAAAAAATAACCAACTTTGGCCAGGTGCCCGGGCGTAGGAAATTTTTCCTCGCTAATTCTGTTCGAAGTATCAAAAAGTGTGTACTTTTCCCTTCAATTAACAAAAAAAAGAAGTTACTGCGATTTTTTTTCGCCAAGTTACAGCATTTTGAAGTAACCCTTGTATTTTCGTTCATTACCGTCGACATCAGCGTAACCCAATGTGCACGTGGAGGTTGCCGTTCGGGTTTTGCACATCGTGTGGTCTTACAAGTCACGCAGCCTTCTTCCCATCATATCCCAGTATGTTCGATATGAATACACCACTGGCCCTCTTCAGGGCCAGCAAATTTTGTCAGCAAATTTTGATATTTTGCAATTATACATATAATTTATATGTATGTTAGCAACGAAAGAATGTGAAATGCCAGTAGTTGATTAACGGTAAAAAATTCTTTTTATCGTTAATCAACTACTGGCGATTCACATTCTTTCGTTGTTAATACTTTTTATTTGCAATCTTTTTGGTATTCTTTGAATAAATTCGCCACTCATACGAACAAATTTTTCGAAGCTTCGAAGTAATTCAAAAGTTTCGATGTATGAATATCGAAACCTTTGAAGGAAATTACCATCCTACTAAATAACACAATTAATCTCGAAAATAATTTTTATAAACTATATAATTGGTTTTAATACAATTGATGCTGATATACTTGATGTATGTATATTAAAAATTCAAACTTGAAGATTTGTTTAGGTTGCCAGTAATAAACAACAATGGATACGTTTAATCGACCCTTTCTGGCTATTATATAATATATTTAATAAAATTACAAGATGTAATGTGCGACGTTTCGACCCCCGGTTTTGGGTCCTTTTCAAGCACAATTCTAAAATTAAACATTTGGAGTTACAAAATTGAATTACGTGTCTTTGCGATTGTAAATATAAAATTCAAAATTAAGACATAATTGTATGGAATATTGTGTAAGACGTAATATAGTAAATTAATGTATAACATAAAACCTTACAAATTATAAAAAGTAATATAAAAATATAAAAATTAATGTGTAAAGCGGAGACAAATATCATATTTCACGAACAATAAGATATGTGGATAACGTAGGTGTATCCTAGCACCAGTCGTTTACCTTAAAATTCCTATGTCATACGTAATACAATTTTGTAACTCCAAATGTTTAATTTTAGAATTGTGCTTGAAAAGGACCCAAAACCGGGGGTCAAAACGTCGCACATTACATCTTGTAATTTTATTAAATATACATATTATATAATAGCCAGAAAGGGTCGATTAAACGTATCCATTGTTTATATTAAAAATATTAAATGTGATAATTTTATATGTAGATAATCCTGCATGCAGCGTGGAACACAACCAAAATTGGGCACTGCATTACCCGCTTGAAAAATGGGCGTAGCACGGACACGCACCAAGTGGGGTCTTTATCGGCAGTGCGTGAAAATGGGTGTACCTGAATAGTTCCACAAATGAAAATGGGCGTAAGGCGCTGGCATCAGCCGTCACAACCGTTCAGAGACTTCAGAGATTGCATCTCTGCGTCATATGCTTCCACTCCACGTAGTGACAGCGTATGGTTCGACGTGGCCGTGTCGGCTCAGTGTCTGTGAGCCGGGAGCCAATAACCAGAGAAGAAGGAAGTAGTGACAGCGCTGCGTCAATATAACCTGCACGACATCCGCGCTCGCCTTCATACCTTAGGGGACGGTCCCCTCGCACATTCGACGTCTCGCACGCGACAGCAGACCCTTGGGAAAAAAAAATGGTGTCCGTTTTGAATACCGTCGACACCGGCCACGAGGACATGATTCACGACGCCGAGATGGATTACTATGGTTTGAGGTTAGCCACCTGCTCGAGCGACAACTCGGTGAAGATATTCGATTTGAAGAACGGCACTCAGAGCCTAGTTGCTGTCCTCAAGGGACACATAGGGCCCGTGTGGCAGGTCGCGTGGGCCCACCCCAAGTTCGGCAATCTCTTAGCGTCCTGCAGCTACGACAGGTGCGCGGCCATACGATGCCTACTCGCGTCACACGTTCAAGTATATTTAAATAATTCATTGCAGCTGAGGTATCTGGTAATATCCGATCTACATCCCGATACTCGCAGTCAATGTTTGTGCAACTTTACAGGAAGGTAATTATTTGGAAGGAGCTGGGAGAGTGGACGAAGATATACGAGCATACCGGCCACGACTCCTCCGTCAACTCGGTCGCGTGGGCGCCGCACGAGTTCGGCCTGATTCTGGCCTGCGGAAGTTCAGACGGATCGGTTTCTATCCTCGCCAACACCGGGGACACCTGGCACATGCAGAAAATAACGAACGCTCATACGATTGGCTGCAATGCGGTCAGCTGGTGCCCGGCGGTTGACTCGGGGGCAGATCCTAGTGCGACTCAACAGAGGAACGATCCTGTCAAGCGGTTAGCCACTGGTGGCTGCGACAACTTGGTGAAGATATGGAAGGAGGATGGCGATAGATGGATAGAGGAGAATAAACTTGAAGCGCATAGCGACTGGGTACAGTTTATGGCTGGAGATATGCAAATGTCGTAAGACTCACATATTTACGTGTGTTTTTATCATGCTAGGTTCGCGATGTAGTCTGGGCACCAGCGGTCGGCCCGTCTCGCGCCGCCTTGGCATCTTGCTCGCAGGATCGCCGTGTTGTCGTATGGACTTCCAACGATTACGCCAGCTGGACGCCGAACGTTCTGAATGTCTTCGACGACGTTATCTGGAATGTCAGCTGGTCGTTAACAGGCGGTATCCTCGCGGTCAGTGGCGGGGATAACAAAGTTTCGCTCTGGCGCGAGAATTCCGAGGGACAGTGGGCGTGCATCTCGGAACTGAACAAAGATCAGGGGAATCTTAACAATCCGGATCAACGCGCCTTGTAATCGTTGCTTTAATGGAGAATGTGTAAAATAATATAAAGTAATCGTTATAAATTAATACGATTTAATTGATATCGGGGGAATTTTTTAGCAAAGTTAGTACGAGTTATATACCGCTAGTGTTTGATTATCGGTAAGCATTTATTCAAAATATAACAGCGACGTTTATTCGACTCGCCTTTGTTGCAACAAACACATTATTTGTAAATATATCGTACTCTTATGGATATTTTTTTACCAATAGAATATACTCGCAGCAATACCTGGGTAATTTTCTCTTTTATGAAAAAATACATCGATCTTATTAATAGTATAGAGAGGTAAATTGCTCATTCGTGATCAGTCTTGGGTGTATAAGGACGCGGCGTAGACTATGTCGCGTTTGATCGCGGTCGAAGCTTCCTCCATTTTCTCTTTCAACACCGGATCGCCTAACGTTACAGCCGCAGTTTTAACGTTCTGTAAAGCGTGGTCTACAATGGCAGTAGGAGTAGTGGATTAAAGAAGTAGGCTCAACTTTAACCTATTTCGTGAACTGATTATCAGTGGCTGAGAGTAAAGGAGTAAGGCTGTAAGCAAAATGGTTCAATTCCATTTCGTACGATCTACTCCTTTACTCTCAGCCACTGATAATCAGTTCACGAAATAGGTTAAAGTTGAGCCTACTTCTTTAATCCACTACTCCTACTGCCATTGTAGACCACGCTTAACGTCTCGCTAAGTTGCTGTATGCAACGGACTATAATTCTCTCCTGGACATGCGTCATCGTCATGATCTCGGCGAACGACTTGGCCTGAGCCTATTCGTAGACAAACTCCACCAAGCCGAAATTCAATGGTAATAACGTCGACGTACCCGGTCGGATAAAGGGTGCGAAAGTTGTTCCCGTCGTACTTTCGTATGGAATCGAACACCACCGTGCGCGCCGGCATGTTGATCCCCATGGCAAAAATTTCTGTCGCAAATAGTAACTAAAAACGTGGTAAAATGCAATTTCGTTACACCTGAATCTTTGCTTATCTTCGAGACTTTCTTAAATTGTGTTTCTATTTGTTTTCCAATGATCCTTTATAAAATTACCTCCACAACTCCGTTCTAAAATAACGTCTCCATAATCTCCCTCAAAATTATTATCGTATAAAACTTCTCCGTAGAATAAAACGCATACGGTCGCGACAACGTACGTTGTTCTGAAGATGGCTCACAAACGCTCTCCACAATACCTCCTCCTGTTTCGGCGTTATCCGAATGAATTTTTCTTCTACAGTCCTTCGGAGTTTTGTCTTTCTTTTTACCGGACGCATGTGATTTGTACCATCTAGATCAAATATTGAAGTGTCATTGGGTTTGTTTTCTGTTCCTGCACTGGTGAACTAGTGCAGTAAGCTAGAATGAGAAAAAATATGCTTGTCTTACTCCAATTTATTGCACTAGTTCACTAGTGTAGGAACAGAAAACAAGCCTATTGTATCATCTCATTCATTCGTTCACTTAAAAATAAAGATAGGAATAGGAATAATATACCCGTCCAATAAAAACTGGCCGTTGCTGTCGACAACTAAGAATTTGTCGTCCTTAGTCTTACCGTCAGTGCCAGTGTACAAGTAGTTGAAAAGCGGTATCGGCCTTTTTAAATTGCTAATCACGTACATTTTTGCTTTTTGATACGGCCGACCCAACCCGCGAATATTATCGGCTTCGGTACAGTCGCAGACGGTACAACATTAAGAATGACTATTTCCTCCCACACGTGACCCCGCTAAAAGTACAAGGCAATTTTTACAGATTGCCCAATTGTAGGAATGTAACGCGCTGCTCCTTGTAAAATTAGCATTACGCACATCTTCATTATTTATATAATGCTCTTCGTCAAATATAACAAATTCCAGATCTCGCAGAACATCGGACGCGCAGTACAGCATCGATTGTAGGATCTCCGTGGCCATGATTAAGCAGTTTGATTTATTTGCAATTCACCCGTTAGCAGCACGACGCTCTCGAACTTTCTCTCAAAATTGCGATATTTCTGATTTGACAGTGCTTTTATTGGAGACGTATAAATCACTCTGCAACGACACAAAAAATTAGCAGGGAACTGTCCAGCCGACTATAACAAGAATAGCGCCGCAAAGTTAATTCTTCAACTTGTGCTTTACCTCGTCATGTGCCGTTGGCTCAACGCAATGGCGTATTCGACAACGGTAGTCTTCCTCGCCGACGTGTGCGCAGCAACGAAGCCGTTGCTGTTGTCCTCCAATTTCAGAATGGCTTGTTTTTGGAAGGTGTCCAGCTCGTAATTAAATTTGATTGCCGGATTAGGTATTCTCTTGAAACGTCCAGCTGCTCCGCTCAGTCTGTCTGTCTTCGTAAGTTCCGCTGGCTTCTCGGATATTTTCAAGATAGGTATATTCGTATCCTCGGGTAAAATTGAATTGTCCACGAAGAGAACGTCGCTGTCCAAAATTTGAACGTTTTCCTTCCTCGGCTCCTTGACCGAAGACCACGAGCCTAGCAAATTTTCCTCCTGGTGTACGACAGCCAGTAAGTTATCTCAGGCGCCGAGGCTTCCACCTCGTTGCTCGTGCAATTGATCGGTGTGCAATTGTGAACTTTTGAGCTCTCAACCCGAGCTAAATTCCTTGGCTAGCGCCTTTAAATCCTTGAAGTCGATATCGCCCACGATTTCATCATCGGACACTTCAGGCTCGTCGAAACGACCGGGCCAAAACGGAATATTGCTGGGATCTGGGATCGCCTACAGAAGACGCAGCCATGGGTGTATCCAGGGGGAGCAAGGGGAGCAGCTGCCCCCCCCCCCCTAGACTCAATGAGATCCCCATTGAGATTACGAATAATATAATTAATAGATTTGCCGAGGACTCCAGAAAATTAATTTTTATATAAATAAAAAATTTTTTTTACAAGTACGTAGGTTAATTTATGCTGCATAATTCGCCTACAGGTGAATCCTGTTCTGCCCCCCCCCCCCTAGACAAAAGTCTGGATACGCCCATGGACGCAGCATTCGTCTGACATGTTTGTTTCATCGATATACTACAATTGAGCTAAAGTTAGAGCACCTTGAACTCCGTCGGCGTGTGATCTGGGTGCACGGGTCATAGACATGGAATTTCTCGCCGTCTCGCCCGCGCCTTGCATGCTAGACCTTTTTTATCTCACCAATCTTGCCCGTTATCCAGCGTAGTACTGATCGGAGCCAGGTCAAATTCCAGCAACGAAAGAATATCAGCCTTGCGTGGCCAGTAACACTGGGTGTATTGTCCAGCTGATGAATGGGTAATCATTTAGGGCACTCGATGTATTCCCGCAGCTTTGACCTGATCAGGCCAGTTGGGCGGAGGCCCAGTAAACTGCAAATCAGTATAGAATATGATTCTATGTATTGTTTTACATATCAATAGTAGATGCGTATTAATAAAAACATAAAAACTGTGTGATAAAGAAGAATCTACACTGGAATCTGCAGAAGAAATTGAAAACCACGAAAATAATGAAGATAGTGATAAAACCGAATCTGCACAGGAATCTACAGATGTATAGAAGATTAAACATTTTACATTCAATTAAGGGTGATGACAAATATGCCTTTTAGGACACTTTTCGAAAATTTTTAAAGATGCAAACAATCAGAATACAGCACTTTATTGGAAGAAATGAAGGGGATAAGAATATACTGTCACGAGACTGCCGTGCCTGTTGGTAGCCAAACGAAGGGCTATATACTCGATGTTATGTCATAATTACCTTCGTCGAGTCGGCCATAATTGTCTCGCAAGCCTCCTTTGTTTATTAGCATATTGATATGTAATGTATGTTAATTTCTCTCCCTGCCCGATGTGGGCAGTCACAACATAATTGACACGTTACAACGGCAGTTTAATGAATTCACTCCATTAATAGTCAATTAAGTATGTATATCAAGATTGTATATACATAAATTGTACAGCATAATTAATAAAAAGTAAATATTGAAAAACATTTCAAGAACATTGTTCGCTGATTGGGATTGTGACAGTCTATAAAATTAATATCTTTTCCTCTCAACATCGACATCGACTCGATCTGACTCGTCGGGAGTTTCCGCGCAAAAATCAATTATATAATAGTTAGTTTATATAATTGTAAGAACGTACGTAAACGTTAAATTTATTGATAATAATAATCTGGTGAAGCAGGAACCACGCAGTTTAATCTAATAATTAACAAAGAGCAATTAGCGGGAATTGGCCAGCAACCACATGAACGGGGAGTGGATAACAAGAATTCCTCCCTGACGAACGAAAACATACAGCAAATCGGCCGCCGCCGAAAACGACCGGAGGTCGGGACTTCAATCTCGGGGGATGGAATAGCACCACCACCGCACGCGCAGACCATCGCTATAATACGGCATCGGACTGACCCGTTGCTGGGGGCCGTTGGACCGAGGAAATTCGGCAACGGCACTCTTGGGAAAGCCGTGAGACTGAGCGTATCCCGGTGGGATAGCGGACCCAAAGTCAGCCCCCGAGAAGTCTGATCGTCGCACACCTCCTATTCTAAATCATTACGGTGAATCGTGGTTGCTAAAACCTAGTGTGTAAGCCAACCCGTAAATTGCTTTGAAAGTTTGTCGAGCTGGCTCCTGATTTAGACCGTAAGTAAAGGAAATAAAATTAAGTGTTCTGCCTGAGATTTTTTCGGAGCCATTTATTCAAACTTGAGATATGATAGAGTCAATAAAACTCCAGGGTCCCTCCAATGACCCCCCACCTTTTTTCATTAATCTTTCTAATCCAGTTATCATTTCAAACGTGGTATGTGATCGTTTACTAATTTTGTAAAAATTAGTTGGCGCCTATCATTAATTGTTCAAACTGCCCGCGGAATTCAGCACTGTAATTATAATGAGCCCTGACGGCTTCGGACCCGGCCGCGTCAGGTGAGGGCTATCGGATAAAGTCACCGAAAGGGCAAAAGAAAATAAATCCTAAAATACAATAGCCCGTCTCAGGGTATTGCGCGATAATAAGTACAATTAAATTAAATTTATCATCGTCAAGTCAAACCAATTATGAGAGTTTGCTGGTGCAATAATTGTATTTTTACAACTATTCAAGACATTGACTATTTTAACAAAAACGCAGTACAAGAACTTTTTGTAGTGCAAATTTTAATTACTTAAAATAGTCGTTTCAAGTATATTTCAATCGTATACAATACTGAGTTTACTTTCATTTATTCGTCGTCCATCATTACACGCAGTGTTGTGAAATAGGAGAGTATAGTCGAAAGATACTGTAACATAGAACAAAGTAAATGTTTGATAATCCATAAAGATTCCATTGCAATTTTATTCGTATGCTTTTTATCTTCAAAGATCTATTTTATTATTTTATAGTTTAAATATTAAGTAATAATAAAAATAAGTGTTAATAGAAAACTTGCAAAAATATGGAATTGTTTGTGATTATGTTAAATACGTAATAAGGAGGATGTATTAGTGTCTTTAATCAATTTTTTCAAATCAATTCAAAACTTAATTTTACTGTTGCAAAATAATTAAAAGATAGTGCCGGCAAAAGACCAGGAATTGAAATTATTACTGGTTTCTGACATCGCATTATAATAAATTGTAGACGTCGCCATATTTTACTGGCATGGCTTTCGAGTAAATTGAATGCTAGTTCTCCGACCTCAAAGTTCTGGGAAAAAATAATAAATACTTTTTAAAATACAATTAATTGCACAAAATAAAATAGTAAATTCAAATGACAAGTTATTTACCGTACGCATCAAAATTTCTGCTGGCCACGTATACATAAATACTTCCACTATACCTGTTGTAAACAGACCACATAAGTGGAGTAAAACTGGTAGAGGTGGCTTCTATTAAAAAATATTGATATACTGTAATGTTCTTATATTTTTATACCCTTACACTACAATTTTCAGATTTAATTTATTAAAATTATTTCCTCTTTGTGAGAGTAAATCAAGAATATACATATGTATACTGATTTGATGATGTACATATGTATATTACATACATGTAATTTTTATTATAGGCTATTTTTGTTTCTTTTAAGTTTGTTTGATAATCATGATACTAATGCATAAATTTAGAGGAAACAATATGTATAAATAGTAAATTTTTATAATGTGTTACATGTACTTACTGTCATAAGTACAAGGAAAATTGTTATTGAGGTAACCGTGCTACAACATATTGATATAAATGCGAAAGGACGAGCAGCAATTGAAACTTCGGCTGCATACCTAAATAAATCAGCATTGCTTAAATCTTTTCAAATTGGAGGTCCTTTTGTGAAGATCTTTTTTTGTACAGAAGGTGTATTAAAATATTTGTAATAACTGAGGACCGGAGAAAATTTTTTATTTTTAAAAATCGCATAAATATAAAATATCACATTTTTTTTATATGATAAAAGTTACAATTTACGACCACCAAGTCACAAAATCAAAGGAATATCTATATCATATACATATAATTTCAATTCTTCAACCTCCGAAGTTTTCAACAATTTCTTTTGTTCGAACTATTTGTATTTTGTATTCTCTCGTGTCTTGGTAAAAACAACACCATATTTTAAAGAGATCCCCATAATAAGAAGTCAGAGAATTTAAACCAGGAGCAAAAGCCACAGTAGATCGAAGTATCAATATTTTTGAAGTAGTAAACAGCTGGGAATTTTTGGAAGAGTTCGAAAATCGTTTGTGATATATAAGGTGTAAAGTATGTGTGGAAATGGGAGGAGGACATGTAAAGAACATTTTGTAAACCTCTGAGTTTAAAGAATTCTTCTTTTTTCATCTTCTGAATAAATGGAATTTATTTTAACCAAAGTAAAGAATCACTAAGAAAAAATCGAAATTTTTATGGCAAGTCAGATAAAACTTTACGAGGAACCAATCCGGCTTGTGAGTCATAAAGAGATTGAGGTTCCCTAAACTAGATTATTCCTATATTAGATAGATAAAAATTATTTTACGTACTTGAGTAATTCTTGATGTGTTTTAATACATTTGCACAACGCATAGACATTTGTAGCTGTCTTGAGTTCTTCAATTAGAATATCAAATCTTGCCGCTGTGAACCAGATCAATAAAGCCATATAAATATTTATACATAGTTGTCCTGATACAAAGAATCCGACTACAGATTGTTGTACATAGATTATTGCTTTTAGCGGTTGATAAGACACATCGAATGGATATTTGGCTTGTGCTGGAAATGGTTGTTTCGTCACAGCAGGTATGAATACAGTTACTGCCGTCATCGTGTAAAAAGTAGTCAGAGATGCTCCATACAACAACAAATATTTGTCAATATATCGCTGAATCACGATTTCTTCCTGTGGTTTCATTACGTTATTAAAATGTACCATTTCGAGAGTAACTTTCTGTAAATAATTACTGTTAATATTGAAATAACTGTTATTGACATAGAAGATATAGAGATAAGAAACGTGAATTCGTGAGTAATTTGTATATGAATCTTTCAATATTTCCTATAAACGCATGATGTTTTAAATGTTTATTAAATTCAGTTAATATAAATGTCAGTCTAAAAGTGTTACCACTCTTATACTACTTTGCGTTTAATGTACCTGTTCGCAATGGTGCAATGAATTTTACGAGGTTCTACAAAGTATTGGTTTATTGCTTAAATAGATAACAATAGATAGCAACACAAGTAGGAACACAAGTTGTACCACATCGTGGTACAAAGAATTTTGCAAGTTTACGAAACTGGCGACGTTCCATGATAGAATATAGTGTAAGATATACATGGAATGCAGTGTGACTTCTCTAAATTCTTTTTGCATTGCGACGTCGCTCGCGTTACATTACAGGAAATATTGAACAATACCACCGTGTGCTTATAGGTTTTAACAGATAATTGATTACCTGTATGCAATGGTAATTAATTTTATAAAAAATGAAATTAGCCATGGTATGGTAAAGGGCGCTTGTTAGAATAGTTATTTGTACTGTATTAAAAGGATCGTTAAGACTACATATGACAGCATATGTCATTGGTACCGCTAGACACGCAGTCATGACAATACAGAAATAGTGATACAGTTTCATACAGAATATCTGAAATTTTGTCGCATCTCGCTTTAACGGCCAACAGCAAATTAAAGTCACACTTAATTTCACGGCGTAGATCACGTCCTTTAGCAACAGCTTTTTTTGCATGACTGTAATGCGCGATGTATGCTAACGTACTGCTTAATGATACGGGAAAGGAAAATCCTCTCGTGAGCCGTTACATAATGAATGGTCCGCGTATTCGCTACCATATTACCGATGAAAGGGTGTAGCAAAGGGGTGTTGTTGCAGAAGTGTGGAAGAATACATGTTACGTTTTTCCGTATCGTGTGGGGCGTACATAAATAAAATTATGATAAAGTATGTATGTGAGAGACGAATTTGCGTGTTTGAATTTAATAAGCCGTAACATTTCCTGTCTGTAAAAGAGTTAGCAAATGAGTGCGTAGACAAGAAGCCTTTATAATTACTCTAAGGTATGTATGCATATTTTAGATATAAGGAAGTAAGAAGCGTACATAAGTGAAATTATGATGAAGCATGTATGTGAGAGACGAATCACCTTGCGTGTTTGGATTCATTAAGCCGTAACATTACCTGCCTGTAAAAGAGTTAGCAAATATGAGTTCAGAGACAAGAAGCCTTTGTAATTACCCGAAGACATGTATCTAAGGTATTTATGGATATTTTAGATATAAGAAAGTAAGAAGCGAATCAAGATTTTTGTATGACATCCCGGATATATACTATTGTATGTATGCTATTTTATTCACATCTTAAATATCAATTGTGCGCGAGTTAAAATCCCAAGTATCCCTAAGAATCGCGTCGCGGTTTTATTTAAAATAAATAAATTTTATTTAAAAATTTGTAGGGTTGTTAGATTAAAACACATGTAGGTAAGAAAATGGACAGATAGTTCTATGAATAATCTATGAATTGGAATACCGATATAGGTAGAATTCGGGTGGGCAGGGACAAGGGATATAATTTGTTACTCTTGTTGTAGATAAAATAATTACAAAAATTTAAAAAGTAGTTACATTGCACTCTCGTTTATTGTAACTACCATGTATTTATTGTATATTATAATAAATAGACACATCGAAAATATAATATTGTAGTATATTAATTGTATAATCGGATGCGCCCAATAAGACAAAAATTATTACACGTTTGGTAAGCTTCTAGTTTATAACTTTAACAGTGTGTAGTTACTAAAAAAATGTTAATAAATTCGAGGGATTCTTTACAAAATAATAAATTACAAATTTTATTAATTCTCTTTTTACTCGCGATTATTTATGTAAATTAAATTTAATAAAGTAAAATAATTTTGGAAATATTATTCGATACGTAAAAAATATTCCGCATTGTCAGAATTTTGTGTTATTGTAAGCATACTGAATTTTTATGTGTAATTTTATTTGAAAAATGTTAAATATTACATAGTAAAGGAAAGAGGATCGCCAATTGGAATCGGCGGGGGCGATGGAGGCCCTCTAGTTTGATTCTGTTTCTATCGAATAAAATTTTTAATTGGATTCAAATAATCTTTTATTCGACAGATTTTTATTTGCGCATTTATAAAGAATGTTACGTAATACTCTCTAAAAGTCAATCTGAACATGAATATTTAATATAAGACTTATTATAATTAATAATAATTATGTATTAAGGTTTGAACAGAATGGCTGTCTTGTACTCTTAAGACAATGTTTTATGTTTTAATGTTTGCTCAAGCCCTAAGACATAATTTTTATTAATCAGACTTATATTAAATATTCATATTTACATTATTTTGTGAAGATTGATGTAAAATAAAAATGGTAATAGTAGAGAAGCACGAGAAAGATATCTCAGTGGGATGACGTCTATATATCATTTTATTATATCACCATATTATACAATTTTATGCATATGAGGCGTAAAACGTAGTATCATTTTCACGACCGACTCCACAGGGTCACGGCAATAATGTTAATATTATTAATTAATATTGTCAATTAATTGACAATATTATCGGTATTAATTGGTTGTATCAATTTTAAGTGCGCGTGAACGTAATACAACAACTTTTCTTCATACAAATATTAGATAATTGTTTATGTAAAATATTGAGTATTATCTATTATTACGCGCAGTATTTTGTAAGATACAAGAATAGAATCAAAAGATATTGTAACATGTAAAATAAATTATAATAATTAACTATACGTCACAACAGAGAAATTGTTTTCTGTGTAAACATTACTCGTGTAAAGCAAATATTTTCAGTGCATATGTAGTTTACATTTAATTATTGTCGTTCATCATCACTCGCAGTGTTGTAAAATAGGAGAATATAGTAGAAAGGTACTGTAACATACAACAATAAATGTAGTTAAATGTTTCTTCATATTAATAGAAAAGTAATTTTTTATGCATAAAAGATTATATTTATGTGGTTATTGTTTGTGCACTTTAAAAGAATAATTTAAAATTAAAATTGTTTTTATGCCACTTTGTATATGTATATTACTATTTTAATAATTTCATTGAAGCAATTATTAATTATCTTTAATAGTACATCAATTTATATAGATAGTTTTATTAAAAAAATATACAATAAAATTCGAATATTTTTCATTAGAATGAGGAATTTAATTGTATATTCATGCTTTTATATTACTTGACATATTTTATGTCATGGTCTCCGTCCACTTTATATTTGTGTGACTAAGAATAAGTATACATAGAAGAGTATCAAGTGGTAACGCAAATGGATACAATAAACAATGCTAGAATAGGAGTTGCAAAACAAAGAAAATAAAGGATAAAGAATATGGTTTAACTGAATTGAATCTGAATTTCATTCATATGTTAGTAGAAATAATTTAAAAAATATAATATATATACAATTATATGTATAGACATACGAAGTGTAGCTATTAAGTAATGAGACTTGTAATCAAAATTGTGGCTTATTATTACAATCTTTCAATTTAACTGTCATTCCTTTCAACATACTTCTATCCTTTATCTATACACTTTCTTTGCATACATTATGTGTTAATCCCTTTAGCAGCACATTTTTCTCCTTTATCTCATTCACAGTCTGAAAGTTAATCAGCAGTATTACCTTCTGACTAAGTTGAGAGAACGAGTAAGCAAAAGAAGAGGCTCAAGTTATGGAAGAACACCACGTAGATTCTCCGTATCACGACAATGGTCGCAATGTTCTGTCCATAAAGTAGTTTCTAACTGATAAGAGAATCCCAGTGCTAGTCCACGCACTTACTGGATTTATCCCCGTGTGACTTTTACCTTTTTCCTAAAGTAAAATCCGAATTGAAGGGAACTCATTTTTACTGTCTAAAAGTCAATCAGCGGATTAGCACTGAAAACAATGAATAGTCACTGATTTACAGTCATAAGTATACCACTGCGATTTTCAGTGGTATAGAGTAAGACGACCAAATACGGATCAACAATTTGATGAGTTATTAATAAGCGACATTTTAAAGTAATTAATGTAAATTTTGCTCTTTTATATATTTTCAACTATATGCTATATTGTCGATATTGTAAAAAACATTGAGGTGTTTTTATGTCACTTATTAGCGACTCGTCAAATTGCTGATCCGCATTTGGTCACCTTACCCTACTTGTATAATTACAAAGTAATGACTATGCAGTGTTTTCAGTGATAATCAACTGATTGACTTTCAGAGAGTAGACTGTCGATGAGGTAAAAGGGGAAAATGGCGGGTCTACTGAAGGGATTGATATATGATGATCTGCGACACTGTTTCTAACAATGGAAAATTCGTATGCAACGGTGTATTGGTGTATATTGAAGAGGATAATAATTAACTATTAAGAATACTCTTAAAAGTCGCCAGCAGTAATTAACAACATCAATGATTTTTATTGACCGTATCTGGCAATGAAAATTCTTATTGCGAAAAACTGCAGGCGACTTTTAAGAGTATTCTTAATAGTTTATTATACACCATTGACCTCAAAACATGGTGTTCCTCCGTAATAGGGGGAAAAGGGATCGGGGGGAGGGCAGAGGAAAGGGAAATTTAAAAATCGCGTATCGACAGTTCAGTGATAGGTCGACAACCCGTATCGACGCCATAGAACTTATAAACATGGAAGGGGAATAGCATATACTCTCCGTGAGCTGAAACTGAGTCCAACATCTGTATGACTTTGGTCCGTTATGCGCATGCGTTAAATCGTTGCGCATGCGTTATTGTAATCTCGTTTTGGCCGCGCATGCGTTATTGTAATCTCGTTTAGGCCGCGCATGCGTATTTCGAGGAAAAGTCATAGAACGAGACAGAATTCTAGTTTCTTGGCTTCACTTGTGCCGATCCGTTTCCCCTTCCATGTTTATAAGTTCTATGATCGACGCACTGTTCTGAAAAGTCGAAATAGACGCGTAAACAACCTCTTAACTAATATATGTTATTGCGAGTATTATCACAGCCCCAGTGGTCGAGCTGGTAAGACGCCCGTCACGGATTGAGGGAGGTCCCAGGTTCGAATCCTGGTTGGGGTAATATTTTTCGCAATAAGAATTTTAATTGCCAGATACGGTCAATAAAAATCATTGATGTTGATAATAATTAAGTTGTAAGATTGTAATAATAAATCATAGACCACAGTTTTTCCACCAGTTTCGTTACTTAATAGCAACATCTTGTATATATAGATATATAATTACATGTATATAATAATATTCTCATATTACTGTATATTAAATAACATATATGTCGATCATATACTTTGATACACTTTGTAAATATACAGGGTGTCGGATTCGATTTGAACGACTCCAAAGATTATAGTAGATTGGGTCAAACTGAGAAGAAAAGTTATATACCATTTTACAAAATCCGTAATTATTATTGTGTAATTAAGAAAAACGTCTGAGCCAATAAGTGCACGGAGAAGCGGAAGGCCGGACTCGGCAGACATGCAAAATGGTGTGTTTGTTGACATCTCTCAGAATCGATAGCGAGAGGTGGAGTCACGCATCGATCGATGAGAGACGGGGGCGAGCGGGGAGCGGTGAGCGGGCGAACGGGGCGCGCAGCGAGAGAACGCACGACATATGACACCGCGCCGAAAAAGTTTTTCTGGTGGTAGGAGAATAATACACCATTTTGCATGTCTGCCGAGTCCGGCCTTCAGTTCCTCCGTGCACTTATTGGCTCAGACGTTTTTCTTAATTACGCGATAATAATTACGAATTTTGTAAAATAGTATATGTATAACTTTTCTTCTCAGCTTGACCCAATCTACTATAATCTTTGGAGTCGTCCAAATCGAATCCGACACCCTGTATGTATGGATTCTTAAAATAGAAGATAAATTTTTTACATCAATTTGAAACTTGATCTTACCGATGTAAAATAATTAAGAGATAATGCGGGTATAAAACAAGGTATTGAAATCTTTACTGGTTTTTGACTTCTCATTATAATAATTTGTAGACATTTCCATATATCAATGAAATTAGTTAGATGACTGTTTTCGAGAATATTCGAGAACACTACTTGTCCGATGTCATGGCACTGGAAAAATAATAAATATTTTTTAAATTGAAGTTAATTGTAACAAATTTAAATGATAAAGTGATAACTTACCGTAAACATCAAATGTTCTCCTGGCCAGTTATACATAAATACTTCTGATATACATGCCGCACTTAATCCGAAATACTGTATTAGTATTACTGTAGGCTGTTTCTATTAAAAAAATTAATATACATATGTATATTATACATATATGTGTGTATATATATGTAGAGGTATATGTATATATGTATTTTATTTTTATATTGATATTCATAAACTAAACTTTTTCGATCAAATTATTTTCTTTCTGTATAAGTACATAAAGAATATAATGACGCACACGCACACGCGTAATATCTAGCCTATCACTAATTTTTGAAGTATGCGATGGATGATCGTGATTTATTTATATGCATAACTTATTAGAATAAACTAGAATATACATACATGAATACTAGAGGTCTATGACATGTATTTACCGTAATAAACAACAGAAAACTTGCTATTATGGAAGTTATACTGCAACATACGGATGCAAACACGAAAGGACGAGCAACACGAGCAACTTCTGTTGAATATCTAAGTGCATTAATGCTCGTCAAAAATTGTGTAATTAAAATTTTTTAACTATATCATTACTCTCTCACGTAAAATAAAAGTTATGATATTTACTCCAGTAATTCTTGATGTTTTTTAATACACTTGTACATCTCATAGATATTTGTAACTCTCTCAAATTCTGTGCTTAGTATCTCAATTCTTGCCGATGCAAACCAGAGCAACAGGGCCATATAAATATTCGTACATAGTTGTCCTGATACCAATATTCCGGCCATAGATTGATTTATATAGATTACTGTTTTTAGCGGTTGATAAAACACATCAAATGGATATTTGGCTAGTATTGGAAATGTCTGTTCCGTTACAAAAGGTATTGCTAGAGTTATTAATGTAATCGAATAGAAAATAAATATAGATATACCATGATACACCACACATTTGTCAATGTATCGTTGAATTAAAACTTCTTCATGTGGTTTCATGAAGCTGGTAAAATGTATCATCTCAAAAGTAACATTCTATAAATAAATATTTAAAAGAATTTTTTATATAGAGAACATAGTAGTAAAACATGATTTATTAAATAATGTAATGTTGATTGTTTAATGTTATATATTATTTATCTACAAATATTATGACTATCAGTTTCAGTAGTAGATTATAAATATTACTTTTCAATGCCATAAAGTATACTAATTACCTGTATACGATGGTAATTAATCATATAAAAAATAAAGTTAGAAATGGTGTGAAGAAGGCTGCTCATTACAAGAACTTGTTGTACTAAGGTTGTAGGATCATCAAGATTATTTTTGATACCATATATCAACGGTGGTATTAAGCTTATTTCCACAATTATACACAAACAGTAGTACAGTTTCACAGAGAGCAATTGAAATTTTGTAGCATCTTTTGGCAGAGGCCAACTCCAACATGGAAACAAACTTAACTTTACGACCGAAAATACTTCCTCTATCATCACTTTTCTTTGCATGACAGCAGTGTGTTATGTATTACGTAAGTGTATTGCAAGTTGATAATACGAGAAATGAACACTCTTTCACGAGCCGCTACGTAATGAATGCTCCGCGCATTTGCTACAGTGTTGAAAGGGTGTAGCAGAGGGACGTTACTGTAGGAAAGCATATTCTTGTGTTTTTCCGTATCGCATGGGGTATACATAATTGAAATTATAATGAAGCATGTATACAGGAGATGGATCGCTTGGCATGTTTCAATTTAATTAGCGTGGTGTTTTCTGCCTGGAATGGAGTTAAAAAATGCATGCATAGATAAGATGTCTTCATAACTTCCCGAAGATTTGTATTTAATATATTTATTCATATTTTAAGTATCATAAAAAATAAATGAATTAAGATTTTCCTACGATATTTCGGATATGTCGTGTATACTGTTTATGCACATTCTAAATTTTGCAAAGTAACTTTACTTACATTATCTTGCGTTGTCTATTATTACTTATGGTGTTTTATTGCTACAATATGAAGGCTGTTTAATAAAGTGTTTTCACTCGTCGACTTCCAACGCGCAGTGGCATTTTTGTTACGTACTACATGATAATTTTATTGAGAGATATTTTCCCTCAGCGAAAGGAAATAAGTATTTATGTAGGAAGCAACACATGTTTCGCTAAAATAATGTACATCTAGTAGTTTTATAGAAATGGCTTTCACGTTCACGCAACATTCACATGTGATTTCAAGGAAAGGAAGGATTTAATAATAGGAGAAAATTCTACAATACGCACAGAAATAAGAAAGAAAAGGTGGAACGGTGAAACAAACAATAATAGATCTAGCAACCCCTTACGTGTTGTAACATTATAGTATATTATTAGAGGGGATGAAAATAGATAAAACTTCCCTAAGAGACTGTAAGAATTTGGATTTATAAACGGTAAAAATGGTGTCGAATGCACTTATTAAAAATAAACTGTTATACAAAATGTCGGGGAGTTCTGGCCCTTCTAAAATAGTTCTACAGTTCCGAACATTAGTATTGTTACATCTGTTACGCTGCGTTCGGATGCGGGTTGCCACGATATCGATTTCAACTGGGTTGATTGGCTTTCGAGCTAAGCGGTCGTTGTACGGTTTAATAAAGAATATCGTTTCGCTCAGAATTCCTTGTGCTTTCTTTCAATGCGGCAGTGCGCGTGTGAGTCGCGTTGTGCCTGTGTGTATGATCGGGGCTAGTGCGCTACCGCGGCGCGGGAGCGGCGTAACCATATTTATTCATTTTTGAGAGCCCATTCTAGCCCAAAATCAACCGGTGTAAAGAAAACACACAATTGTTAAAAAAAATTTTGATTTGTATCATTATTCTGTTAAAAAAAATATTAAGGTAAGATGATACGTATAAATAACGAAAGGCAAAAAAGGAAGCCGAGTATAAGCGCCATCCAATCAAGAATTACATAATTTAATTATTTAGATAGATGTGTGTTGTAGAGAAAAACAAACGTCTTCTCTACAGATGATATCATCAAATTGCGCCAACTAAAATGGATATTTATACAAACTAGATACTCTATTATTTTTTATATTAAAATGTTATATCCAAATAATCGAGCGTAAGATTTTACCGGGAGAAATAAAGGAGACAGTAATATATTAATGAGACAAATTTTTAATACTTTATCGCAGCCGAGGGGCGCAATAACGATACGACGATGCAGCGGGTTAACAAATACGCAAATCCCATTCGCGTAACACCTCGTAAATCTGACGTTAATCCCTCTTCCCCCTCGCAAATTTGGCGCCCCGTCAAAAGTGTAAAAAGTTCGGGC